ACTCGAAATTTATTTTTCGGACATTTCATCATTAGGACATTTTTTTAATAGTGTTGAAAGATATTAAGATTTTTTATGACTCAAAAAATTAAAAGGTTTTTGATAAATTTAGACAGATTTTGTAACCCGAAATTTGTTTTACATGCACATGTTTTTTGTAAAACGAAATATATTTATGGCTATATTAACGTGAACAAATATAGCTGTACTTTAGTTGTGATCGTTTTAAAAGGATGATACATAGTTTCAATGTAACCTATTTTAGAGAATCTCAAAAACACTTGATTTTTGTATTAAAATTTAATTATTATCACTCAAATAAATGTATCTGATCAAAATGTATCTGGACATACCCATATTTGAGAACTTAACAGCATTAAAGAACTTAAATTTTCAAGGCACTTTATGTTTAATTTTATCTAAAGCAAAACAATATTTGGAAATTATTCTCTAAGCATTCTTCTCATTGCTATTTATATTCTTTTTCCCAGAATAATTTCAATTTTGAAGTTATTCAACTTTGTTTTAACTTCGTGAATTTAAACATACGGTAATAAAAACTTGAGGAAACAATTGGTAAAAAAATCTCGATTTAAATAATATGGACACTGGACATCAAACTTCAATAAACCCCGTACTTCACAACAAAAGCTCTGTGCTTTAAGCCCATAAACCATTGCGAATAATTAGTTTTACCATTTTAAATGTAAAACATTACGTATTAAATTACTCCTAATTTTTTAAATCGAAAATCGCAAATAATTTAAACGGAACAGTATGATTATTTTAAAAAAAAAATTTGTTTAAACCAGGCATATTTAAACACACAGGGGAAAAAATGAGAAACAGAAAAATTTACCTAAATTAATGGCACGAACCATTATCATAAATAATAACATGTTTAATAACAAAAAAAAACTTAACTACAATAATAATTTATACAATTTGAATACAATTAATTTGTATGTATACCAGCAATAATGCTGGCATACATATTTATATTTATATTTGGCACATTTTAGACACACAGCAGAAAAAAATAGTTAATAACAAAAATATTAACGTAATCAATAAATCTTAAAAATAAACACAAACAATGATATTAAATTTTAGAAACAGAAAATCAATAAGAGTCATTATTATTGCAAAATTGATAAACAACCCTATAATTTTCATTTTAATTGTTATTGAAACGTAAATTATATGATTGTTAATCTTTTTTCTCTTCTTGTAAAACATAATAAATACTATTATTTAATAATTAAAAACATTTAAAATCAACGAAATGTTAAAAAATAAATTAAATATATTTAATTTTGATGAGTGTAAATTTATCTCGATATTATGTAACAAAGACCTAAGAACAATTTTATAATTATTTCCAAAGCTCGGCTTAAATTGGATTTAAATGTGACTCCTTCGTACAAAATGAAACACCGCTGAGCGGAGTGAACTAATAAAAATTAGGTACAATACTTTTTTTGCAGGGATGGGGACAGAGCGACTCCGTGTTTTCCTTCTAGAGAAATTTCTTTTTCTCAAAAAATAGAATTTTTTTTTCTTTGAAATACCAGGAATGGCATTGCATAGATAAGGGTCAATGGGCTGCCGAATGATTTTTCTGGAAATATTTCAAAGGGAAGAAATCTTGATCGCAACGATTGCAAATGTAAATAATACATAGCATTCTTTTTTAGTGGTTAGACTTATAGATTATTGATGAAACAACTATCAACTACAACAGGCTGGAGTAATATTTACAATCAACTGAATGCCTTTGATCCCTTACACCTCTCTCTGCCCCGCGTTATTGCTCTTCAGAGGGATGAAAGAATTCTCAGAAAGAATCATCTCTTTTTTTCTATTTCAAGGGAAGAGGGATCTAAACTTATGACTACAAATTAAAAGATTTATTTTTAGCAGTTCTTCCCTTACACTTTATTTTTAACTTTAAAAAGAATAAGAAAGAGTAGATTTTAAATTACTCTAATTTTAAAGGAAATGTATTTCCCTTATTTCGGGCTCCCTTGACCGTCGAGACAACGCCCCGGCGTAGTTGCGGCCCTACACTCAATGACCAATTAAGTAACTGCTGTTAGCTCTCCAAATTTTCATTTGAAAGATGAGGAAAATAACTTCAGTTGACAATACTCTAAATTTAATGACACACATATAATTTTATATTGTATTAAAAAAAAATCATGAAATTTTCAATATGCGTAGTAAAAATCAGTAGTAATTTAATCAAGAGTATTCAAAAGAATAATCATTATAGGTAAAGAAAAAAGGAAAACTTACTATTTGATTTATCTATTTTTAAATATGCATTTTAAAATAAGTTTTAAAATTAAGTTATCAGCATGAGTGATCTTCAAATACATAGTTCGATTATGAACTTTAAATTACTTGTATATTCTATTATTCTCGATACGGCTTTCAACGGAGCAAAATATAGGTAAAAGGTAATTTTAAAGGAGTATATATTTTTTAATTTGATTAGTTAAAGTTGTGTCACGGTATCTTTAATTATATGCTTCAACCATTTATTATGAAAAGTAGCAATTCCTGCTTGTTTCAATATACTCAAGGAAAAAAGTAGGTGAACGAATATTTATCTCAAATACCTCCTTGCTTCAAAACGAGCAAAGTTATAGTAATACAAATTTACGAAATTATTAAGTTATAACGTTTTCTTTTTCTGAAAGAAACTCTTTAACTCCCAATAAAATCCATTTTATGTTTTTTTTTAAATTATTCAAAAAAATACTTATTTTCAGATCCAGAATTCTTATATCATTTTGCTTTTAATGGACATTTGTAGATCAAAATTATTTTTGTATATTGTTTTTTATTAGTTATTAATAAAATCACGGTTCCCACGGTTTAAAAAGTTTTTTGAAGTGGTATGAGATATATCTAGATGGTTTAAGCTAACAATAAATTTTTGAATTAAAACAAAATACATATTGTGCAAAAAATACTTAGGAAATAATTTTGCATTTCCGCAATGAAAGCTAAATTTAAGCATTTTTCAGTAGTCTTGAAAAATCTTAGTTACCACTCATTTATTTTTTCCAGGTCTTGGAAACCCTGTAAAATTAATCCAAAATTAACTCAAATAACTGTTTAAACTGGTTACAATGTTTTCCATTGGTAATTTTCACTGCTAAAAATAAATTGATTTTCTTTTTAATTTCATTCTTTAATTGAAACTATTTTCTATATTGTTTTTTATTAGTTATTAATGAAGTTAATTCTAAATTAACTCATAAGTTGTTTAAACTGGTTAGAAAATTTTCAATGGATAATTTTCACAGCTCAAAAATAAATTGATTTTTTTTTCTTCACATTTCTTAATTAGACCGGGAGTAGCAAAAATTGAAGTAAACCAAAACTAATTTTAAGATCTATATTTTTACTGAAAAACCTGTTTTTATGGTTCATTAAGTGGAAATAACTATCACCTGGCTACCTCTAAATCCTTTAAATCTGACTGTTTTTAAAATACGCCTTCATTTGTCTCTGGCAAATCATTCTTGGTCTTCCGCTTTTTCTCTTGCCATCAGGGGACCAAGAAAGAGAAACATGCGCTAATTTTTTTCTTGGCATTCTCAGTCTGTGCCCGTCATTCTCTACCTTCTCTTAAATATTTCATCTTCTATTGTAGTTAGGTATGCTTTTTATGATGTAAAATAAAGGGAAAAATTTCATTCAGAGAGAATACTTTATTAGCGTCTGGTTTCGTAACTTAAAATATAATCTGCACACATTAATTACCATATTTAAATTAGTCTCTCGAATCATTAAGATTGCATCGTAGTACGTGAAAGTCCAATCATTAGATAAACAGTTATATAGATATTTTCTTTTTTGTTACGCGTACTGTATGCGCTCAAATTTACCCTGCTTTAAAAAATAAATAAATGAAAACTTTAAACATTTAAGAGTTATATTTTTCTCCCATAATGCGCATATTGCAAGTCCAAACATAGGCCACTTTTATGATATAAAAACGGTTACAAATATAAAATTCAAATCAGATAAAGTAAACTTTTTAAAGCTTTCCGAATAAAAAAGTTGTTGCCTGAAACAAATATCAGGATATTTGAATAACTTAATTTGTTACAGTTTCCCCCGAAATCCATCCCAGTATGTAATATATTCAGGCTAATCTACACTCTTGACCCTGGCGCGAAATTTCCACTCATGGTTATGGCTGGCGCGTAAATTTAGTTTTGTAAAATAATGAGCTTTAAACTACCATACTATACTCAGAGTTTGTTGTAGGCAAATTTTAAAAAAAGGTGAACAAGAGTTTTAGTCTTTAAGAGGAAGGTTATAAAAAAAAATGCGCAATGAAAATCAAATCTTCGCCATCGAATTAACACTTCTGAATGTTTTCGACATCTTGGGTTTTCCTCGTATGGAAAAAGAAATTATTCATGTAATTAAACCCAAATATCTTTAATGAGAAAGGTGCATGTTAAAAGAGTGGACAAAATTCAAGTTTAAATTCTCTTCTCTGTTGTGGATTCAGATGTTGGAATGTTAATGCTGGGAGTGTTCATCGAGTTGTTCCCAAATTTGCCCCAGATTATAACATTTTGCGCTATTTTACAATTTTTAGTTTCTACATTCATTTATGGTTTTGGCAGCCAAAAATTTTTTTAAACTACAACAGTTAAAATTTTCAAAATTGCTCACGTTTTTTGTGGAACTAGTAGCGAGGAAAAATGTCTGTCTGACTAGTAGATTTTTTTAGAACTGAAATTCCTGCTTTTGATATATTTCTAGTTCCTTCATATTTTATAAAAATCATTTTTAGGTACGTATTTATTTAAACACGAGTTCAATTATTGCTATGACACTTATTTTTCTACAAGGAAAAAAAAATAAAATTATTTTTTTTCTTCCCTTCTTTTTTTTAATCTCTTTTTACATTTAAAATCTATTCTCTTAACTTGTATTGGTTGAAATCTAACATTACCTTCATTATGCAGGGAATCTTCATCTTCAGTTTGATAACGTACAAACCAGTAACGTATAACAAAACTTACGAATATCCTGGATGGGCTATTTTCATTGGCTGGTGTATGGCTCTTGTTTCGATGTTGTGCGTACCAGTTTACTTCGTGTACCAGCTGCTGGTGACCCCTGGCACAATGAGACAGGTATGATATTTGTTGATGAGTTAATTAGTTGAGACTTAGTTCCACATCAATTTTAACTTAAACAACAATTTTTAGGTTCTGTTTTATTAACCAATCTGCTTTTGTAACTAATTTCTTTACTTGTCCTCTCGTAATGAACTGAAATTCCATGCTTATAACGAACAGTTCATTACGAACGGAATTTCAGTTCATTACGAAAGAAAAAGTAACGAGAAAGCGTGCATTCTCGTATGAAATGATGTATATATATATTTTTTTTAATGCTTCTTCCTACTAATAGATCTGCTAAAGAATAAAATTAATAGCATAATCTGAGATTATTTTTAAATACAGTGAGTAATTAGTGTTTTAAATCTATATTTTTAGTATCCTTGTCAAAGTTAAAATAAAATTATACACGTACATGTATAATTTTCTTTAATGTTATCCAGGTGGCAAATTCATATTTTAGCCTGGAAAAAACGAAAACTATATTAAAGTTTGTCGAATCACCTCGGGAAAAGGTGGAATAATGAACATGAAAAACAGTTTGATTGCCTGGCAAAACATGTTTAAATATGATCTCTTTTTAGAAGTGATTCGTTGGATTGCGATATAGCGTTTTTTTTTTTTTTCCTTGTTGAAATATTAATTTAAAATGCGTAGATTTTAGCTTCACTTTGAACAAGAATTTAACAAAATATAAAGGCGGTCATTACAGAAAACCCAATCGATACATCTGGTACTGAACCCAGCACCTCCTAGAGGTGTTGAATCAGTTCTCATTTTCTCTTCTATAAAATTATCAGTTCTCATCTTCTCTTCCATAAAATCATCTCACAAAAATACATCTGTCAATGAACATCAATCAAGTCTAATGCTTACCTCATTAGCAAAACTCAAAATGTATAATAGAAATCGATACTTCGATTTATGAATTTTTGTTGAAAAATTGAAATAAAGATGAGCTCGTATCTGCAATATTAATTCTTGATAAATTATTACTATTCGCCTTTTTTTCATTTTTTTAAAAAATAAGTTCCAAACTCTAATTCTATTTCACACGATTTGTTATGCGATCAAAATTGTAGACTCATATGCTCCAAGTTAACCATAGCACTAAAAAATGCTGCTAAATTTTGGATGCAATTATCTTTAGAGAATAAAAAAAAAATTTATTTCGATTTGAGTGCGTAAATGAAATTATTATTTCAACTAAAACGTTTAAGACGCGTCGAAAAATTTTTGTTAAACTAGCGAGCATACATATCTAATGCACCGATAAAGATAAATGTAGTGAGAAACTACTCAATAACTTAATTTCGTATCAAATAATAAAATCGAGAAAGCTAAATTCCAAATAAAAATTGACAAGCCTCTCAGATGTTCAGTATTTATGTTATATGTTATCTTTATCAACAAAAAAAAATTAAATGGGTTAAATTTTTGCATTTGAATAAACAAAATGAAACTAGGTAAGAAAAAAGTATATAATTGAGAAATTATTAGTCCGAATCTCATTTTTTTAAAATTATTGTTATATGCTAATCATTTTATATACAGGGTTATTCATAATTCCCTCTGGGGTTTCGAAGCGTTATAGTAAAAAAACGAAGACGAATATGGTTAAAAAGAACATATGCAATTATTCCGAAAGTATTCAAGTTTTAATTTAAGCAGTTGCCGGTAGATGGCAGTAACATGTACCACTGAAGCCAGTTGTAGTAAACATAAGGTTGTAGTAAACAGAGGGAATTATGAATAACCCTGTATAAGTGTTGAGTATAAACTAAAATATAAAAAAAATGTATTCAGCTGTGGAAAAAGCCCTTTTATTATGCAGTTATTAGTTTCTCCTTACATTAGCATATAGATAAAATACATACATTGGCAAGCTAGTGGTGTTTTCTCAACACAGCGTTTTTTTTTTCCATATATTCACGGGATACGGTTCTCGTCCTGTTTGGGTGTAGACTTCCTATAGTTTTATATTGATAATTAGGGGACTCCGCCCCCTGTTAGCTGATGCTCTTCTACACATCAACATTGCTATGCAATCTTGCATGGTTTACTTTGCTAACCATGCTCACTACTAAGTTAAAAAATCAATTGAAATGTGTTCTAGTGTAGAATCTTATGAATATGAATCAATTATTGGAATGTTTGAAACTAATTCTGTTTTAAAAATTAAATTTTTTATTCAATAACAAGTTATTGAAAAAAAATCTTAAATTTAAATAAATGCAATAAAAAAGCTTACTGAAGCGAAGCAATAATTATGCTTTTATCAAACAACGTGTGACGGTACGTCTCCTATGCATTTTTTCAATGCTAAGTCTTTCATAACTGTAATCAAAGCTTTCTTCTGCTCGCTTTTTTTTAAAGTGTAACAGAACGACTAATACTTATTTTTTAATGAATAACAATAAATAAAATTATTTTTATTGAGCTTGCATGAGTATAATTAATACATAAACATAGAACACTTAATATGAACCATTTGCTTCTTCTAATTCTTCCCAACTTATGGGGCCGAGATAGCCTGGGCGGTAGGGCGTTGGGCTCACGTCCGTGTGGTCATGAGTTCGATCCCTGCCGGCCGAAGACTTCCGGTATACGAAATGGTAACTGGTGCGGGCTAAATCTTTCGGGGTTACAAAGTCCTCCAAGACTTGATCAAAGATTGATCGAGCGAATGTGTCCTCTGTTTAAAACGGGATGTGACGTATGTATGTTGTCTCCGAATCATCCTCAGGGATGTTTCCCAGACAGTCTCCAACAGCCAATCTGCAGCTTTAGCGCAACGAAAATAAAAAGTATCTAAGTATCTTCCCAACTTATATCTCAATATCTTTTCATTGTCCATGCGAGAGAAAAGAATTTTCATTCAGAAATTTGTAAACGTGTACATTTACGCTTTCATGCTTATGACAGCTCACACGCTACTTGATATTTTAATTCAGAAATAATATACACGTTGCTAAATTTCTAGTAAATCGAAGGAAAATTGCAAGTATCAGGCCTGCCATGTTAGCGGCATGTCTCCAAACAGCAAATGCAATTAACCAGAAAGCTTGTTCAGTTTTATACAATTTAAAAAATACGTGGAATAACGTTAAAATGAATATGTTGTAATCTTTTCGACAGAGCAAGCTTATTTAGTAAAGTCACATTAAAATTTTTAAAAAAAAAAACGTATAAATTCCCAACTTATATCGAGTAGAATGTGAAATTGTGGTTCACTTGTTGCGCATGAGGTCAACTTTATCGCGATTTTCCTTTATGCATCACTAAGATGAGGAATGGAATTTTATTTTGCTCTGCCATTTAATTAATATATAGATTAAAAGATATTTAAAATTCTGCGAAGGTTCCTTTTTTCTTCCTCTTTCATTTTTGTAACGCATTATCTACAAAACTTGATGCGTTTAGACCTTCGAGCTCTTATTTGTGCGTAAATAAATCCCTATAGAATGGGTGGTCAATTTTTCTAGCCTTGTTAATTTTTGAGCACAAGACTGCATTGTATTTATACAATTTGACATTGAATATTCGTTTTATCTCTCATTTTCCAGCGATGGAAGATTTTAACCACACCCCGTATTCCAATGAGGCTGCCAGTTCATGCAACTGATCCAGATGAAGCTGCTAAGAAGAGCCTCACCAACAACCACTACGAGCAATCAAAGCTATAGCTCTTCGCACAAAATACAAAGTTCATTGATAAATCAAAACAAGCCTCATAGGCTCGTTTCATTTAGCAAATCCTGAATGATTGTCTTCATTGAAGACTTCTAGTTTTTGCAACACTTAGTAGGACCACACTTCAACAGCCTTGTATTCGTAAGGTTGCAAAATTAATAAATCAGTTTAGCTGATTTAAAATTATTTTATTTCCGAATAGGCTGTTGAATTAAAATATTTTTTCTATTTAAAATAAATCCTATTTCCACAACATTTAGAAAAATCCAAATGTGAATCTCAATCAACTTTCTTTTAGATTTATAGAGGATTCGATCCTACCAATAAGTATGGTATTCATATGTTCAACTTTAAAATGAAACGGCATTTATTGTAAATTAAAGCTATTGTTTCTTGCTTATTCATAATTTATCTTTATAAATCATTCATATAATTGTAATTACTGGATTCATTATTTATAGAAAACATTTGTTACGATTTTGTTCATTGCATATAGTTGCATACATTGGATTTAAGTTATGAAAATTATAAATTTTGTTTTATAACAATCTTTTAAATTGAATTTCAGATTTCTGTAAGTTAAAATCTTATTTTATCAACTTGAAACATTTTGGATTAGGATTTTGTAATATCTTATTTTTTAGAAATTTTGTAGTTTCTGCATTATAAAGACAAATTTTTTTAGAGTGTTCTGTGTTTAATTTCAATATTTATAATTCTAAAAGCATGTAAGTGTAAGTTTCGTAACCATCTATAATCAGAAATTTAATGTTAGAAATCAAACTAATCTTGTTTCAATGAAATTGAGCAATTTTCGATTTTTCATTTTAAGCAAATATAGTCCTTCTCCATTTTGTTTCAAGTAAATAAAAATAATTCTCAATTCTATAAGTTTTGAAGTTTCTTTCTTATTTGATTATATTTCTTAACATTTGTTGATTTGTAAATGTTAGATTATTTTAGGTTGACAAATCTGTTTTGCTTAAATTAGTTTTTTTTTTAAATTTTAAAATATTTTAAATAGTATTTTAACAATTTTAAAACATTAATCAATAGTTTTTTTTATAACAATTTTAACTAGCTGGTTTTGCTGCATAAAAGAGCTCAATTTCTGGCAGTTAGACGCTTTATTTTCCATCCTGTTGTAAAATTAAATTTAGTTCATTTGTTTGCAGAATATCTGTTTCTGAACTTAATGATTTTTTTCTGATATTAAGAAATTAAAATTCTGAGCAATTATCTTTTAATTTCAGCAAACACTAAAGCTTAGTCAAAGAATTTCTATAAATTACCAAAAACTTGCAACCAATAATAATAATTTTTAAAATTTATTTGAATTACTTTTAATGTAGAACAAGTTGTTTTATGTTCGTAATGTTTTTTATTTTTTCACGTGTTACATTTGAATCAAGTTTATGTTATATTAAAACAATGATTTTACTAAGTGGCAAATACAAGTTTACGATTGTTATTGGAAGTAAAACTTGTTAGATAATTCCTGTTGCTCATGGTCAATTTTGTTGATAATTTATTTCACCCTTTTAGAGCACACATTGCCACATTTCATTTTGTATTTTTTTTTTTTAATTAACACCTTTCACATTTATTGTATTTTCAAATCCATTAAGTTTCTTGTGATCGTTATGAATTGTAAATGTGTAGTATTTCCACTGTCATTCAATTTTCAGTCATATTTATTGGTTAAAAATATAATATATGGTTAAATTGTAACATTTGATATGATCACCTTATGCATTTAACCCAAACGAAGAAAATTTGTAATGATGGTTTAATACTTTAATAGAAAAAATACTTCTTGTTGAACTTAAAACTTTTAGCATTATTTTGTTCGATTTTAAATCAATATTGTTGCAATTCAACCAAATGTGATTTATCCCGGTGAGGTATGGTATCACTTCGTACCATCAGTTGTAAATATTGGTCGTAAATGGATTTTAATCTATGGATTTAAAACTGCCAATGAAGGTACAAATATTTTGTAATTTGTGTAAATCTTTACCAACAAGGGACGAGCTTTTTATAATAGGATGAAAAGGCAGGAACATGGATTTAGAACCCCTCCCCCACCCCCCTAAAAATATAGTAAAGAAAAAAAAATTCCTTCCTTGCAAGTTAAAGCCATTGACCCAATTTTTACTAAGCACTTATTCAGCATAAATAAAAGTGCATATGATCAATATTAAAAAAAAATCCTGATAAATAGTTTTAAAAAAATAGTAAATGAAAGCAAATATATGAGAATTAAAAGAGTGACATTTAAAAAAATATGTTGGCAAAAACTTTTGATTTTTTTTTTACATTTGAATTAGGCTTTGATTTTTGTTAAAACATTTCAAAACCAATAGAAAGGTTTATTTTGAAGAAGCTTCTACCAAAATATACGACATAGATTTCAAAAAAGAAATTTTTTGGATCTCGTACAATGTAGTGTTCTCGAAGCTCATTGCTCCCGATTGGATACTCTAAATAGTTTGAATGTTAAAAGATTTCACTTCATTTACGGCAGTAATTGTTGAAGGATTAAATTTCTTACTAATTTGTGAAATTCAAAGAACGTTTCACAAAACTTATAAAAAAGAATGATTTTGTAATGAGATTTTATTTCTTCCTGCTGCCCCATATGAACAAAAATTGCCAAAAACTAAAATTAAGCATTGAAAAATGCTGTATTTAAATTTAATTTTTCTGAACTTTTATGCTAAACAAAATAGCAAAGCTATGATTTTATTAAAATTATTGTAAACAGTAATTTTACAAAAGAAAATTTCTGAGTTCAAGTTATGAAATGTTTATATAAAAAAATACCAAATAACTTTATTTCACTTAAACTAATATACTTAATATGCGTAAAAAATAATTACAAACCTTTATATGAACAAAATTTTCTACTTTTTACTCTAGCAATCAACAAAAAAAAATTTTTAAATTTGCCATAATTAAAAAACCAATTTATTAAAATTTATAGTGTTTTCATAAATATTTACACCAAGCACACAGTCATTCCCAATTCCTTTTTAGCATGTACTAAATATTCATTTTAAAAACTTATAGTAAAATATCAAAAATAAATTTTACAATTTTATTACTTTAAATTTTCATAATATTTAAAAATCCTTAATAAAAAAAATAGACATGTTACAACTTACAGAGTTTTCAACTTACCCACTATCTCTAAAAAAATGACCATTTTACAATACATGAGGTTTAGCTATGAGGTTAACATATTAAAAGGTTTAATTATGAGGTTAACTTAAGAGGTTTAAAACTGCAAGCATTAAGAAAATTTACCGTTAAAATTAATATTTGAACATTTTATAGAAGTTTTTTTTAAAATTAAAAAAAATATCATTTTATGTTTGTTTACACACAAGTTAAATTCAAAAATTATGTAGATAAATTAAAACCTCTGTATATGTCTCGTCATTGTCAAAACAATGTTGTAATTATTGTTTAAATCTTTTGTAGTGAAACAAATTTAAGTTATACTAATTTTAACATTGTTTTTATTTTCATCTGTATGTCTGTTATGTAATCTTAGAAATTATGTTATTACTCATGTGTATAAAAATGATTAAAATTTTCTAGTATCAATGTTTGAAATTATGTTATTTACTTCATTTTCTAAGAAATGCATAACATACCAAAATATACTTGAACGAATTGAAAGAAAAAAAAAAGACTGAAATAAATTAAATATAATATTGTGTTCAATATTTTAAGAAAAAACAATATTCATTTGCAGGAACTAAAATTTCCATTTCCAAAGTGTGGAAGTTTTCATGATTTTTAATTTTCATAATAGTTATCCATAAAATTGAATTTTTCACTAGAATGACTAAAATATTAAAAAAAAAAAAAAAAACAATTTTCCAATTACAACTGATGTTTACTATGAGCATAAATTTAATGGACTCCTAATCCATCATTGATGGCAATTAAATATATCCAATTAAATAGTTTTAATCTGTTCAATATTTTAATCCAAATATCAAGCAGTATATATCATAGAACTCTCATTTTCAAAATTTCTTATATGGAAGGATTTCGATGTGAAGCTAATGAATTTCAATGACTAAATCCGCCAAACCAAAAGAATAAAATTGGCAGACGAATCACGTAAAACGTAATTCTTCTCATAATTGGCGGAATAATGTATGTAAACACCTCATTACGGGATTTAGAAAAAGTTTCACAATTTTGTCGCATCATAAGATTTTGACTCGCGGAACTCAGTGAACCAATGCTCTTTAAATATGCAGAATTCTACGATATCCGTGCAGAAATCGCATGCCCCGCTTCAAGTTTCTAGACCCAGAAGAAAGATAGGAAAAACTAAATTCCGGGGTACCCCCGGAATACAATCACCCTTGATTACATTATAAAATATATTATGATACACTCAGTTATTAAGATATAATTTAGTCCTTTATAAGTTTTTTCGTATTTGTCCTAATATTAGAGTTAAGATGAATTGACAAAAAAAAAATTAGCTTTTGATCAGTTTAATTTGATTTTAATCAAATCAAAATAAATTTGTATCTTAATTTCATTGTACAGTGCACAAAAGTGAACACCCTGAACATAATGATCTGATTTCTTACATACAAGAACTCAATCTTACTGGTTCAAAGGAATGAACTCAAATATACCAATTGATTAATGCAGACAATATTAAGTTACAAAAAATGTACTTTCTCTAAATAAACAAACTTTTTTACAGACGGATTTAGATTTATGAACCTCAAAAGAGAAAATATAGTCAAGATCTGAAAAATAAGGTTCAAATAGTTTAGTTAGAATAACAATTGAAAGTTTATGGTCTGCATATTTTGCCCTAAATAATTAAATCCTATCATTTTTCACATCATTGTAAAAAATTATATTTAATCGTTATAACTTTTTGAAATGTAAAACAAATTTTTAAATTATTTCATATGACAAAAAAATTTGGATGAACTCTAAAATAGTTCAAGAGAAATCAAATTTTAAAAATTTTACATTTGAAAGTGAAATTAAAAAATTAACATTAAGGGGTTAACTATTACCTTTGACGATTGAGAACAAATTTTCTAGATGGCAACCATCCCTATACGAGATTAAGAAATCTAAATCTGTCCAAAAAAGGTACATTAAATCAAAGAACATTTTCGTGCCAGATTTCCTTTCCACAAATTAGCATATTTAAGGTTAAGCCCTTGAGCCATAAATTTTGAGTCTTAGTACATGAAAATCCAATCACTATGTCAGAAGTTACTTAAGGTGCTTCTATTTTGCGCACTGTACAGTATTTGCATAATGGCGCAATATAAATTTTAACTATTAATTTTTTGTTAAAATAAACAAATTGAAAACAGAAAATACTTTATTGTGAAAAAGCATATTTGATAACAATGTATGAACTTTCAAAGCTTCAACATGTAATGTAACGCACTTAAAATAGCATCCATAGTTAAAGATACGGCAACACAATCTTCAATAACATCTGAAATAATTGAAAAAAATACATTGTTCAGAGTACAAGTAAAATACAGAGGTAAACAAACATTCCAATATGTGAAATTAAGTTACCTTGGAATGATAGGCTAAATAATGACGGTAACAGTTCATTGGTCTTTAATATCAAGCACAGCCTTGACAATGTGTTTTGCACTGATACCAAACATGTCAAGAAGTTCAGCAGGCGGCCCACTACGGGGAATACCAGTAACAGCAAGGCGGGACAGCAAAATGTCACGACATCCTCCAACAGCACCAGCAACTGCTTCACCAATTCCTCCTAAAATAATAATTTTTTTTTTCTTTTACTAATAGTAGCACACCTACATAGTAGTTTTCTCTCTATTTAATTGAAATTAGTTAATGTGTGTGAACTATTCAGAATACAATTCTTTTCTAGAAATAATGTAATTCCATTGCTTTGGTTTACATTTATCTGAAGGTATACTCAGAGGTAAGCAATAAAATTTGCAAGTCTACTGAGTTAATTTTCAAACACATAATTGAAAAAAAAAAATTCAAATTTTTGAGTGTTAATCACAACTTTTTTGGAACCTTCAGCTAATGCTATTCCTGCATGAAAAAGGTTTTTTCCGAGATTATTCAATGAAAAAGTAGTGTTTAGCATGGAAATTTCAATACAATTTTGTGTGAGGAAAGTGCAATTTAAGGGTTAATAGACAGTCAATTTACTTGCAATTACATAATTAAAAGTTAATATTCTTTAACTTTCAAATTTCGCTAGGCAAAGAATGGCCAGGAAAAAGAGAGATGGATGCAAAAAGATAAAATTTGTAGTTAACTAAAATGTTATTAAAATATTCAAGGGTTCAAGCATTCCTATCTTAGAAACCTCTTAATTTCAAATTTAACAAAAACAATTGTAATGTAACAAAAATTTATGAATTTTATTAAAAAGTTTTAAACAAAAACTCACGGAAAATGTAATGTTTAAGCTCAAAGTATTTTAACACAGTACTTAATTATTTTACACAGACAATCAAAATTTTTTTTCTCTAAAATCACGAGAGAATCTATTTGCAGATATCAGTCTGTGAAAGTAATAAAAAAAAACTATACTTTAAATTTGAGAGCAATGAATGCAGGCATTTTATAAAGAGAAAAAGAAATTCACAATTTTTTCATTTTTGAAATTATGTGATTTCAAGACAAAATTATTTATTTTAAGTTTTCGATTGGGAAATTACTAATTTGTCACCCATTTTAATATAAATAATACAACTGAAAAACAATATTAGAACATTAAATATCATCAATATGCAATCAATGTCAACAAATATACGTAAAAACATTACCTTCATGATAATGATCTTCAACAACAACGATTCTACCGCCACATTCTTTAGCATTTGTTACAATGGTATTAACATCCAATGGCTTAATGGTGAAAGGATCAAGCACACGAATTTCTATTCCCTGCTTATTTAGTTGATCTGAAGCTTTCAAAGTTTCATATAATGTAATACCAGCACCAATTACCAAAGCAACATCCTTGGAGGATTTTTTCACAATCTACACATTAAAAAAAAAAGTAAATATAATAAAGAAAGATTGAAAACTACAACCTGAATGTTTAATACAAAACAAAGCTGGTCAAAAAAATTCTTTTTCATATATCTTAATGGCCTAGGGTGAGGTATATTTTTGAACCAATAATTAGTCCTTCCTTACAATACATGACAAATGAAAAATCTGCAGATATTATCATTGGTTCAGTTTCAATTAAATTAAGTTAAAAACAATTAAAGATATTAAAATAAAAACCATCTCTTAGCAGATATTTAGCAAATGAAATAAAAATTTCTGACTGATAAGAACTAAAGCTCTATATTTGAGATAATCAACTCAATTTTTATCCTTGCTTCTGAACTTGCGTTTATTTAAAAAAAACTAAAATCACAGAAGTTCTTGTCCTTCAGCATAAAGGCAAATTGTTTATGTATTTTTTAAATGGGTAAAAAACTTAATAATCAATTTTATCTACATTTGATTATTAAAATAACTTCTAAGCACTAAAAAAAAAGAAACCTATTATAAAAATATTCAATTAACACTTAAAAACTTTTAATCACATGGAAATGCAGAATATTCTTAAAATGTTAATTGCATGGAATTGAACAATAACAATCTATACACCAGAAGTTTGTCAATAGGAAGAACTCTAGTCGCCACAAAAGTTAAAGGCCACCTGCTGCTATGGACAGACACAAACAGCGCATTCTAGAGAATTGAGGTTCTCTCTCCAAATTATTTTTCTCTTGCAGACCTGAATCAATACCAGTCTTAAATATTCACCTAACACTCCTGCTTAAAATAGTTAAGCCTCAGATGGGGTGTTCTTTCGATAGACTATACTTAATTTACTTATTCAGACGCACACTATAGCACAAATAGAAATCTTTCAGAAATAATTGAAGTAAAATTATGTCAGGATATTTTCCACTGACTGTGGAGTAAATTTTTTAAACAAAGATAGTAAAATAGCCAAAAGCAAAAAATAAAATTTAAAAAAAAAAGATTATATAAGGATTGTATCAAACATCTAACAGAGCGTACAAAAAGTTGATGTTTTAACGTAAAAAATTGAAAAACACATTTTTTAATGTACAGTACGAAACCCGTTATCCAGAAATCAGAAAACCAAAAAACCGGAACGACATTAGATACATTTTCCCGCCATTTTTTTTAAAAAAGGTTTTCTTCCTCATAAGATTTTAGGATTTTTCTTTCTTTTTCGAAAGATGTTCACCTTACCATCAATTTGGAAACAATCATTAGTGTATTACTTAATCGTTTTTTCTTCTCTTTAAGATTATTTTCGAAATTTTTTATTTTTTTTTTAGTTGGGTTTAACAATAAAAAAACAGCTTTTTGTAGCGATTCAGAAAACTGGAAACATCAGTTATCCGGAATGGTGATGGTCCCGATCGTTCCGGATAATCGGTTCCCTACTGTATTATCATATTAGATTGTATTTTTTTAATGCATTCACGTAAGGTTACACTTTCACATAGGACATTTTTGGATTTAATCATAATTAATTCACCGATTATGGTAATACTACATAAAAAAATCTTATGTGCAAGACTTAATTCCAATTTGATGCCTGTTAAGTGAAATTTTGTTAGTTGATTGCGTCCCATGTATTGCTTTAGAGGTAAATTTATAAAAGTGGGTCTGTCAAATGTATTTTATCATTTCTTTAACTATATTATTATAATAAAGTCATTCACATAATTTTATTATATATTACCAATCTAAATAAAAATAAATTAAATTATTTTATTTATTTAATAAGACTTTGCAAGCACATGGTTCACAAATCTTAAAAAATGAAATTAGATTAGAATTTATTCCATTAATTTAATATTAAATTGATTAATTTAAATAAAATAAGAGTGAATATTTTGTTAGTGATGCATGCCAGTTATTTGTTATATTTCTTATTATAAAAAATTTCTTTACATTTCTTTGTGCACAAAGATATATACAATCGGATAAAAGCTCATTTCAATATTTTAAATACTTAGTTATATGCCGAAACCTATTTGTTAAAAAAAAAATGTCTTCTATACTTTTCCCATACAGTCAACTCAAAGGGTTTAAGGTCAGCTTTTAGCACTATTTTGCCAATTCGATAAATTTCTAGTACAGAACATACTAGAATAAGAAAATTTCCTGTTTAAACTTTAACAGCAGTCAATAACACTCTTAGACAAATCTGATTTATTTCATTTTGCCCCCTTTTATTAAAAGATAAATATGGTTTTTGATAATAGAGGTTAAATTGACAATGTTTTTACTGTAATATTTTAATCAACAGTGTTTCTCATTTGATCAAAATTTTTATGGTTATAAATTTGTATCGCAGTTTGAATTTTTTTAAAAAGACATTTTTTTAAATTTTTTCTCTCCATACTTTTAATAGGCATGGCAAGTATGCCTTTTTTTTATCCTGGGCAAGACACGACAGCGAGCAGTTGAGCTAGACTTTTTTCTAAAGGTATTTACTTTAGAAAAGAATACTAAAAATAACTTTCAAACTTTTCTACCAAATGCAATTACAATTAATGAATGACATTATCACATAGACTTACCTTGGCTTTTCCAACAGCAAAGGGCTCAGCATTAGCATAAATAACATGCGTATTTGGTCGAGATGTTCGGATGAAACAGATTCCCTGTGTGTTGGCAGCCAACTCGCAAGCCCTTTCAGCAGAAACTGCATCACTTGGGTAGAAAACTGTGCTTCCAGGAATAGTACGGAACAAAGCAATGTCTTCTAATCCCATCTGAGAAGGACCATCCTCTCCTAAATATAAACATTACTTTTAAAAGGTTTTGCTTTTAGATCCAAAGTAATAAAACAAAATCAGTTTTTTTTATCACATGATAGTAATGCAATTTAAAGAAATTGTGCAACTATCTAAATATAACTAAATGTAGCTTTAAAGCAACAGATATTGAGTACCTAATTTCCTCAGCATAAATTAATGCCCTTAAATTTAATATATAAATTTCAACAAAAGATTTAAAGTCTAGAATTATTTTTCTGTAGTAGCACAAAAAAAAATCTTGACATCATTCTTGTTCATACAGTAAAATGACTTAATTTAAATGTGACTCCAAACAAAAAAAAAAACAAAAAAATCAAGACTACTGAAAATCTTAATAAATCCAGTTAAAAAAACAATAAAAATCCTAAAATATTTTATGATTAATGAACGGACCCTTAGGCGCAAGTACCCAGGATTAAAAAATCAATTGTCACAATTATTAAATCAAATGAATAAACAGGAAACAAAATTAAAGAAGTGATGAAGGTCTGAATGTTCAGTGCTCTGGTCACATGAAAATACTTTATTAGTGAATGATACTCAAGTCATATCTATAAACGAAACAAAGCATTATCAGCAAGCCTGTGCCAATAACACTTCACAAACAAAGAAATTAACCAGAAAAAAATTCCTTTAAGCTATAGGTTAAAAAATTTGGCAATGTTTAGTTAGTCCTCATGATCAAAAAAAACTTCTGAGATTTTTGGTTCAAATGAAGCCAGAAATAAAAAATCCCACACAAAACACAGTAGAGTTGCACGAGTGATTATAAAAATCCTTTCCACTGAATCTAGCTCTGCTAAAGTATATATGGACCCGCAAGTGATTCATCCAACATATAAAATGATTGGCACTTTTGTACCATACGGACAACGGTAAACTGAAAAGGAATGTAGTTGAATGAACAGTGAAAATATTGAAACATTGTAAAAACAACACCTTTTGTGTAATTCATGACAGTAATTGACATGACTAAGAAAAAATCTTGTAGAAAACAGAAAATTAAGCACTTTTTACCAAAACTTTATAAAAAAAGCACTTTTAAAGGCTTTGAAAAAATCAAAAAATTTTAAATACATTTTAAAAATTATACACAACCTGTCTCTCTTTCCTTATCATTTGTAACCAAAATTGGGACTACATTTTTTTTAGATTCTTGGCAGGTGTACGAGAGAGAAAATGGCCAGAAGCTGTTAAAAAATGCAGAACAGTAATTTTGTTTTATGTACACAATTTAAAATGCAACTCTTTCCTTGTTACATAAGTTCAGGTTTTGCAACTTTTCACCTATCCAGCCTTTCAGCAAAAATTTAATAGTTAAAATAACTTTTTCATCCATAAATCTAATTCATAGCTACAAAATTACAGACTTGTTATAAACATGGGACGAGCCTCCTAAATAAGGCGAGTGATCAGGAGCAACAGCTTCAATATCAAGATTTTCTAATTCAATTTTAACAATTAAGAATTGGAAATGTTTTCCAACAATCTTACCAATTGAAGCACCACAGTGAGAGCCAGCCAATTTGATATTTGCTTGAGATATAGCAGCCATTCGAAGCTGATCAAATGCTCTGGTGAAAAAGGTAGCAAAGGTACTGGCAAAGGGAATTTTTCGACCTCTTGTAGCACACCCAACTGCAACACCAACAAGGTTCTGTTCAGCAATAAAACATTCAATGTAACGATCAGGAAAGGCTTTCCTGAATTTGTCAGAGAAGGTGGAGTTCTTTGTATCTCCATCTAAAGCAATAATTCTTTCACTGTTCTTTCCAAGTTTAGCTAAGGCAGTTCCATAAGCTAATCTAGTAGCAACCTGAAAATGTAAAACTTAATAAAATACCCAATTGCTTAATTTATTTACTTTTTATGTCATCATACTTCATTAGGTAATAAAAATGATAGAAACCTTAAACACTTTTTTCTAATTTATAAAAACATTTTGCATACCTAAAGTTATAAGCCTAAAATGTTTTTAAAGATTTGACAATTGAAACTTAATTCAATAAGAATTACGAACTTTCACTATACCTACCTCCACTTTTAAAGAACTTACAAAATGCAATGGAAAAGATTTCTGATTTCCATATTGGTGAATGGGCAAAAATAACTGCCTTGATTTGGCCACAACCAAAGAGTCATCCATATGCCATACATATGTACAATGTGCTAAAAAACTCACTAGCCTGAATAACTTTTGATATCATGTTAGGATCTTCAAGTTCTAGGGCACAACCTTAATTGTTCAAATGAAAAATACAAAATTTGAACGAAATCGGATGAACACTTTATGAGAAATCAAGATTTAAAAATAGGACTCATTTAAATTTTGATTTCTCAGGAACTATTCAAGTGTTTTTGCTGAAGTTTTGTATTTTGCCATGCAAAATAACATAATTTAAAATGACAAACATTTTACGGCTTAAAATTAAATTTTTTTTCGACTGTTAAATAAAATAAAAAATATTTACTAAAATGAATTTTTTGTATGGAATTATATTCGGATAAACGAATTTTATAATTAGGCGCAAAACCTTTTTAATTTGCTTATGAAATTTTAAATATGATGAATGAAATATGCAAAAAGTAAAATTAGCATTAAGGCAGGGGTCTGTCCAGACATTTTGTGAAAGGTCTGATCTTTGCAAAATTGTGAAAAAATTACTCATTCTTTCAACTAGGGTCCTGCTTTTATGAACTTGTACAAATAGGGTCCAGTTATTGCAAAAAACTTTTTCAAAGAGTTTTTGAATTGTAAATAGATACAAGATTATGCTCAGCACTGTAAAATTATAATAAAAAAATTAAATTTTCAAAAATAAACAGCAATTGCTGCTTCTAAATTAGAGACAACATACAAATATTTGGTATTTAGCCTATACTGCTGGATGCAGAATATACATTTCGGACGAATAATAGGAGAATCATCTGCCGAAGACAAAACTTAATTCGTTTACATCTATCTTTCTCGTTTTCTGCCCTGGGAAGGGTTTATTCAGTTAACAAAACAATAATGAAGATAAACAAATTTGTGAAGGATCTGATTAAAATCATTTTGTGAAGGGTACGTTAACGGACCCAAATTTCTTCTAAACAGACCTCTGATTAAGGGGTCTAACTTTGGAATGCTCTCTTGACCAAACTATGGGGACCCTATTTCCCAGATTGTGCTTACCCGGGTCAGAAATCTGATTCTGTTTAAAAAGGGTAATTAAAGGGTGTTAAGGGTTTATTCAGAAAGAGTAAGTTTCTTTGCCTGATTTTATAACTTAAAATATTATCTCCACTAATTAATTCACCCCCTCGAACCATTAAGATTTGAGTCTTAGAACATGAAGATCCGATCATTAGATCAAAATTTATTCAGTGTGGTGCATTTTTTTTCTTCGGCACACTGTACAAGAAAATGAAATTACAACAACAAAAAAAATCTGTTCATCCAAGGTCTCTAATTTTTCTTACCTACACGCTTTTAGCTTTAACTTTTAAACTTAACCCTGACACAAAAAGTTTTAAAGGTAACTATTAAACCATTTGGTCCAACACGAAATGAAGCAATAGCCTCATTTAACCAAAAACCTTAAATGCCTCACCATTTCTCCTAATGTGTAATTTGGTTGTTCAGACAATTGAATAGGGGCTGTATCAACTGGAGGAACATCTTGTACGGGAGCAATAATAGTCTGGGGAGCAGGCAGATCCCTTGCACATGCACCGGAGATCACACTGATGGCAGCATCTGCTTTGTCACCAAGAGGCTTTCCGTGCCAATTTTCTTGATCCTCAATACCTGTAAATAAGGATTTAAGTTATATTTGAAGAAGATTTAGGTTACTCTCAGAACCATATTTGATGCTATTCTCTATAATATCTGGAAAAAATAAATTTTAAAATTTTAAGAATAGTGAGGATATATAAAATCCATTACAATAAGTTGAAATAATTGGGCAGGGCACCCAATAAGTGTCATGAGCCCAGAGCAGACAGCATTAAGAGCAAGCAGCACCCTTCCAACATAAGACCAAGAGGAAGATCTTAAGAGATGGTAAGACTGATGAGGACTTAGCATTTTAGAAGTGCAGAACTGGAGATAAATTTCTGGGATAAGAACAGATTAGGAAAGGTTCTAAGGAAGGCCCAGGCACACAAATGGCTGTCGTACAAATGCTGATGAAACTATATTACTAATGTTTATCTTAGAAAATTCTTTTATTATTATAGCAGTTCTTAAAAGGTAAAAGCATAAGATATAAACTTTAAACTCTGAAAACAAGTTTAACAGAAAAAATATTGAAGTAAAACTATTCTGTTTAATGACAAGAATTAACATAACCTATTGAAATTATTTTGACAAACAAAGATAGTATTTTGACTAACAAAGATAGTAGAAATACCTTTCGAAAACACCTTTGACTGAGTCAATGTAACACCAAAAAAAATTTCAAATATTTTTTAGATTTAAAATATAAAAACGAGAGCAATGATTCAATTGAACAATATATTAACAAAATTAACAAACTGCAGCACTAAATAAGTAATACACATTTTAATGTGCGAAAGATTTTCAAAAAGTAATTTACTTTGAAATATGTCTAAATGTAATAGAAACACTATTATATTCACAAAAAATAGATTAAGTACTTTAAACATATACATCCTTAAATAATTTTTCATATTTATAGTTTTTTAGTATTTATAGTTTTTAAGAAATTTTCTTTGGCAACATGCTATTTTCTTACACATGAAATAAGACTTACAAGTAATCAAAACAAGTAAGACTTACTCACGTAAGTAATGCAAGGTATATACGTTTGCCGTAAAGGTAATCTGATGTGCTGAAGTCCAATGAAAGAATTATCATCTTGTTATTTTAAGTAAAAAAGAATTTGTTGCTTAAGCAAGATACCAAGTGTGTATTACATGAAATATCAGACTTAAAATTAGTTGTAGTCATAACATAGTAGTTTATAATTTTTTTTTTTTTTTTGTAACAGCAAAATATGACCAACAAAAGGATAAAAGAAAATAAAGTTACCTGGAATTCCTTTTCCCTTATAGGTTTTTGCCACTATAGCAGTTGGTTTTCCCTTAAATGATGCAGCATTTTCAAATGCTTTCACAATTTCTTCAACACTGTGTCCATCAATCACTATGGTGTTGAATCTATTAAATAAAAAAAAATATTGTAACATACTTTTGAAATGCTGGTCAGAAATAAAACGTGAAACATCATACACATATATAAAAGGGCTACATCAAAGAGATTGCTTCTTTTCTGAATTATCTACTAAGCAATTATAAGACAGTTTGCCAATTTCAGCATAAAAATGCAAAAATTTCCAACATAATTTTAATTAGTTTAATTAAAATTATGTTGGAAATAATAATTAGAAATTAGTTTAATAAAATCTGCATGACATCTTAAATAAGAATAAATTAAAATAGAATATGAGAAAAAAATCAGAAAATTTAATGAAAATTCTGTAGAATTAACTAGCACAACTAAAGAGGCAGACAAATTTTTTTCATAGTAATTTTTTTTCCCCAATTGGCAGGCACTGAACTTTTACGTCCTTCGCCTAGGAAGATGCGGGAAGTATTACTCATTTAACATTACCCAGCGGTCCTTACCTAACATAAGTGAACCTAAGTCACGGAGGCGAACAACATTACCCACGCGACACTGCCACAGATACCCGTTTTATAAGGTGGGGCCACATTCACACAGTAGAGAATAACACACAGAAACATCCATGCCCTGAGCAGGATTCAAACCAGCAGCCATTGGCTTTGCAGTCAGGCACGCTAACCACCTTCCGGCTGGCCTTTCATAGTAATTAACTGCCTATTATTTGCAATCAGTTCACTTTTTAAATTTTTACATTCAAACCATCAACAAACACATTGTAATCACAATAGCAATAATTTTGATTAATCCTACTGATCAAATTAAAAATATATACACAAAATAACATTTTGTAACGCTAATTTCGAACCTTAATGAAAAGTACTTATCAGATGAAATAGTGTTTTGCAATTAGCGCAGTTTGCATATATTATCTCATTTCCATTATTCTGGGAAGTTTACAACAGTTTTTTCATGACTGTCAGGTGAATTTATAAAGTCATTAGTCAGCAGCCCTTATGTTAATTCTGAAAATGGAAAATCATTTGCGATCTAATTTAATATTTAGAGAGTTACTTCAATGCTAGATTATTTAATACTCATAAAATCTTTGGTAAATTAAGAATTATTCTTAGATTTCGATTCTACTATTCAGAAATCTTTTGCGGATGATTTTAAAAAAGTTAAACTTTTCAAATATTTAAGGTATTTATTCATTCTGAAGCACAATTATTACTTTATGACATAATATATATATAGTTCAAAATTAAAGTTTTGCCTTAAGGCACTTAAACTGTGGTTTTATATTTTTCCGTGAAAGATCTTCGAAAAACACATATTTCTACAATAAATATGCTTACATTAAATTCAAAATTTAACTTAAGAAATTTAAAATTGATGTAGAAGCTAAATGTTATTCGCCATTTAAAGTCTGGAACGCTACCTTATAGACCACTTTACAATGCTGTACCGATACAGCCTAGAACTCTACCTCATGGACTATTTTACACTGCACCGATACAGCCTAGAACTCTACCTCATGGACTATTTTACAACGCTTTACAATGTATATTGATAGAAAAAATCCTATTTCTTTCAATTTTAATGACAGTCTTTGTGATGCCTTAACAAACAAGATATAAAATTTAATACAAATTCAGCAGAACTACAATAGATCTGTTTATCATGGAAACCTTCATTGTGAATGATAAGACAAAAAAATTATGTATGCGGGTCAACATAAAATATTAAACGATAACTTCAAAATATGAGATAAATAATAAAGTAATGGGCTTGTATACTTCAAGCATAAAAATTAAAGTTGAAAAAATTATGAGTTAAATTCAAAAGTATTATTCATGATGAGAAAGATGAACAAAATATGAACATAAAATTTTGGTTTCTTTATTTCTCAGCGCTAACACTAAATTTTCAACATTAGCATTAAATTGTTAAATTTCAGTAAGCTTTCTCAGTTTTTCAGCATTCTGCAAGTCTTGACACTGGCTGCGTTTTACCATCTTCACGGCTGAATATACACTTCAGCTTCTGCAACCATTTCTTCAACAATTATTTTGAGCTAATGAAAAAACATCAAACTAGCAGTCTTAGATGTTTTCCCAAAACTGTAACAAATCCTCTTTTTTTTTCATAAGCCTCATTATGATTGTTTCTTTTCAAAAGTAACCTAAATATATTTTTTAAATACCAGTAGAATATTTGTACAAGACACAGGAATCATCTTCCAAAACAATCTACATGGGTATTATCAGTGCATTACTAGATCTAAGATCTTATCATTACTAGATCTTATCATTTCAGTTTCATAAAAAAATAAAGGTAAAATATTTTTAAAAACGTTGTAACACAATAAAAAAATAAAAGTATATTTCAATGTTTAGTTAAAGACTCAAAAATAAAACCGAAATCACATGGTAATCAAGTGCAAAAATTTAAAAACTACATTATCAGCACACAGTTATAAGCAAGCAACTAGACTGTGGAGAAAGAAAAAAAAAGATGAAAATGGAGATAACTGTAACGAAAAAATTAACACAAATACAAATATATATAGAAAAAACTCTTAGCTACTAACAAATTTAAAAAGCCATTAAGAACTATAATTCTTACCCAAAAGCCTCTAGTCTTTTCTGATAAATTTCCATATGATGTTGAAACATTGTTGGCTCACTTTGCCCAAGACGATTGACATCGAAAATGGCAACAAGATTGTCCAGTTTATAATGTCCAGCAAAGGAGAGGGCTTCCCAGATGGATCCCTCAGCAGATTCTCCATCACCAATCAGGCAGTAAACACGATAGCTAGAAAACATAAGCAGAAATATATAAATACAACTAAATAGAATATTCTTAGAAGTCAGCAACAGTCAGAAAAAGTTTGTAAACACACCTTTACAAATGTTAAAACTCATTCTAAGTTTCAAAAAACACAGTATAAAATTACATCTTCACTGGATAAAGATATTCTTAAAAGGTAGACATTTCAATCAAAATAAAAACTTTCTTATACAGTGTAGAACCAGTTATCCGGAAATCAGAAAACCGGAAAACCAAAAAAACCGGAACGAAGTTCAATTAGTTTTCCCGCCATTTTTTTAAAAAAAAAAAAAATTTTCTCTCATAAGATTTTAGGATTTTTCGTTCTTTTTTTAAAGATGTTTACCTTACCATCATTTTGGAAATAATCATTCATGTATTACTTCATCGTTTTTTCTTCTTTTTAAGATTATTTTTAATTTTTTTTTTCGTTGGGTTTAACTATAAAAAAACAACTTTTTGTAGCGATTCAGAAAACCGGAAAAATCAGTTATCCGGAATATCGATGGTCCCGATCGTTCCGGATAATCGGTTCCCTACTGTATTTACAAATAAGAAGAACATCCAACTGAATTAGTTTTTTGATTCTGTATCATATCCAATTCCTTAATTCTATTTGAATAAATTACTATTGCGATTTATATTTAATTTTTTAACCAATTCCATTTAAGCTATTAATTCTATTATGCTATAATTTCAATAAAAAGCTATTATTTATAATAAAAACAATTGTAAGTTGTTATAATTATAAATTAAACAGACTTAATCCACCCTATTTGTCTATGAACCAGCATGTCTGGGAATGCTAATCCAAAGGATCAGAAATTTGTTAAAAATTCAATCACTGAACTGAAAATAAAAATTCTTATTGCATAATGATGTAAATTTTCACCTAACAAAAATCATGAGAACTGCAGTATACAAGGTTCTCATTTATACTAGATCACTCGTTTTTAGTTAAAGCTATCACTACATCAATTTTTACCATTAAATTAAAATCAATTACAAATTATATAATTATAATAGAAAAGTCATTTTAAACAATAAAAAAAACTATCAGGACAAAATAAAATATTTTTAAAATTTCTAAGATAATTAAAAATAATTTTAAAAATAAAAACAAATTGCTTCAAAATAATTTGATCTTAACAAGACAATTTTAAGCAAGTGTCAAACATTTACCTCAGATAAGATAAAAAATAACAATCAAAAAAAATAAAGTTACCTAGCATTTTCAAAATATTTGCCAGTGTAAGCCATACCAGCAGCACAACTCAGACCTTGACCCAAAGAACCAGTAGCAACATCTATAAATGATAGACGCTACACAAAACAAAAATTTGTAAAAGATCAATAGTTAAAAGCAAATTAAAACAATATTTCAAAAGACCTTACAAAATAAATCAACAGTAATTTAAATTCACTTTTTTACTCATAAGACAGTATATTAATAAATAAAAATACTAAGCAATTTCACAATAGAAACTTCAGTATCAACTATGAACTAATATGCTCAATCAAACTTTAAAATCTTAAAACATCTTAAATCTTAAAGAAATTGTCAAACACTTAAAGTAAAATTGAAATCGCTGTAAACTTTCAAATCCATTTAGATTTTTTTCCCCTTTAGTTATCTAATTTTATAACATAATTTAAGAGAAAAAAAATACAAAAAAAAAAAAAAAATTCACATTTACACACAACATAACATAAATATATTTCATTTACTGCCGATATGTTTCAAATTAAATATCTTTCTAAAATATATACACACATAAATACTTTTTATAATAAATTCCTTTAATACAAGTTGCACAAATTGCATACACAAACTGCTTAAAGTTAATCTCACATGAAAATTTCTTAGAAACCATTTTATTTGCAACAAAAAAAAACACATAATTTTTTAAATTAGATGTCCTGAGTTACCAGTATTAAAAAAACTTAAAACATTAGATTAAAAAAAGAAAAAAATTAAATTTTCAAGAATTTAAGCAATTAATAGTAAGTATAGATTGTACACAAAGGATTTTGCAACCCATTTTTAATATAACTAAAAATAAAGTAATTTCATTTTTAGAAATTAACTATGATTAATTTACTACCTAGATTAAATATAATTAAATATTCAATTCAGAAATTCAATAACCACTTTAAATCAAATCAATGTTCTTTTCAAAGTACACAAAGTTTAGAAAATCTTCACACTGGCCATAGGCTTCAAAATGCTTATGTCTAGTCTAGCATGTTGAAATATTCTTCTAAACCAAATGCAAGGCTTAAACAATGCTTAAAATTGTTCAGAAGAGCCTTTAAATAAAAAAAGACAAAGATTTTCAAGTAGGCAATAAAATGATTCTGTGTTTTATGGTGTCATCTAGGGAAATTCTAAAAACTTATGAAGTACTTATCTAAAAACAGGACTGGAGATAGTTAGATGAAGAAGAAAAATTTCATAATTGGAAAAATCTTAGTTCATCACAATATTGCTTCATCTTAATACTATGTTAGAGTCTGATCTCTAATAAAATTTTATATATTTTTGAAATATTACATTATCTGCGATTAAGTAGGTATATAGTCTAAGTTATTAAATGAGTGAAATAAAAATCAAAACATTTAAAACATTGTATTTGGAAAATAAAATAAATTTTCTTATTCTAAGTAAAAAATTTATCTTTTATAAATTACTTAAAAAAATTTATTGAACATCACAAAGTCAATTAAATTTGATAATGAACTACATTTCAAATATGAGTGTTAAAATAAAATTAAGAGTAAAATTGATAACCAGACATTTGATTGCTTAAGGAAATTATCTGAAATTCTCGTAAAATATTTTTTTCTGCATGTAGAAAATAGATAAACACATTTATAAGCACAAAATTAACATTTATAAAAATTTAAAGAGCAAATGAAATTTTTTTTATCGAATATTTTTTTTCTTTCAAACGCATAAAAGGATATATTCAAAAAAAAAAAATATATATATTCTGTAGTTTTTTGCACTTGGAATTGCATCAAAAAGAAAGAAAAAAAAGAGATTAAAATTTTTTAAATCTATGGCAATAACTAGAAAAAGATAAAATCTGATATTTAAAGCAAAATCTCACTAAATTATTAAAATTGAATGTACGTTTCCAGATTCACATGTTGTAATATATATTAAAAATACAGAGAGTTTAGAAAATATGGGGAAATAAGTGATAACAGCCAAAAAATGGATAGAAAAAATTATATAATAATTGCATCAAACCATGAATATTCAGGTGCGCAATTTAAATTTCTTGTTTTATAACAATACCGGAATGTTAGAAAATTTATGTGAAAATCAACAGCAATAACTGCCAAAAAAATTCAGATTAAAACCAAGCACATCAAAAAGTAATGTGCGCAAATATGTGCTACTCAATTTCAAGTTTTTTAAAAATATTCAATTCAATATTAAAATAAAATAATTTTTTAAAAAAATTGGATCTAAAAAGCCACATGGAGATTTGTAGCAACTCATAAAAAGTTGATGGGAAAACTGTGGTACCGTCAAAAATGACTAGTAAATACAAGACCAATTTTGCATGCTGAAATATCAGAATTTTAAAAACAATGAGAAAATCAATAGCATTAACTGAGAAAGATGAGATCAAAACAAGGATTAACAATGGTATTTAGCACATTGAAACGCCCGATTCAGATGCAGAATTTCAGTGTCGAAATACCATATTAAAATTTCAATCAAATTGTAGCCAAATATAAAATTTATTAAATAATTCTTCTGTTACAAATCGAAATTTGCTACTCATTTAAATTAGAATTACTTTTTAGTTTATTAATTGTATACTTCTGTGTTTGCCTCACTTCATTGTTTTAGCCGAAGTTATGGAGTTTTTTGTTCTGTCTCATTTACTTGAAATGGCGTTTTAACTTTACTTTTTAAGAAAAAAGTTATCCCAAGTAAAGGAGAACTTAAAAAAAAAAAAAAAAAGGCTGCTGGTAAGACTGATGCAAATGTTTTGTCAACCAGATTTTGCATTAAGTAACGAAATTTAACTTTTAGATTACCAAAACTCAGAGAAAATTTTGTCGGAATATAAATTGTTGTTTCATGGAAGTCCGCAAATCAAGGGTCATTAGTTTCACAGAATTCCAAGAATTAGCAGAAGAATCGCATGCCTGTGACCACACACACAAACATAATTATACATAATATATAAAATAGATTAAATATCTTTATGCGAAAAACAAAACCACAAGATTTTTTTTAAAACTAAAGCTGAACAGGCAATCAGGAACAACACTTAAAGCTGAACAAGAGGCAATTTATTTTCTAAATGTGTCCCAATTTACAAAACTAATCTCAGCATTTGCATAAAATTCAACTTTTTTGGAACTTAAGTTTACACCGCATCAAAGATGTGAAACAATTTAATTGAATATTGAATTTTAAATAAATTAAGACAAAATTATAAAGGGGGAAGAATCCTTACAGGAGTTGGATGTCCTTCAAGATCACAGTCAATTTTTCTCAACTTCAAGAGGTCACTTTCAGGAAATAATCCAGCCTCTGCCCAAGCAGCATACAAAATCGGAGCAGCATGACCCTGTAAAAATAAGTTTAGTGTTACAGAATTCAAGTCTAGTTATAAAATTTAATGGAGAAAAACATTTGTAAAAAATCTAGTAAATATTAAATATTTCAACTACATAAATTTTTAAAAAAACGCACTTCCTAGATTAAGTTTTTAAAACCTTGGGAGTTTTAAATAGAGCCTTATGCTTTATAACAGCTTGTATTAATATGGCCAACTTTGCACACTTTCTAACTAAACACTTTCAAAATAAATTTAGTTTGAAAAATAAAATGGAAATTTAGTTGGAAAAATAAAAGAAATTAGTGCATCTATGGGGGTCCTTGGCAGGGAGGAGGGTTGTCTCTTCAATAATAAGAAATCCTTTTAAGTCCCCCTCAATATTTCAGACAAATATAAAATAGAAATCTTTTAGCAGTTATTTAACAGATATAAGACTTCGTTCACATGAATAAAATGTAGAGAATTATTGTGATTGTATTTTAATTTAGTTTCCCCCTTCAAAAATTGGAAGCCTGTGACATAATTGTCTACTCAGATATGGGTTGAGATCAAGACTCAAAATTAATTATGACCAGTTGGTTCGAGATCACTAGAACTTAACTCTGGTAATAAAATTTCTATTGGTTTTCCTGATCAGCAATCAAGGTAAAAGAATGATTTGTTGGTTTCTTTTTATTATTTTCAGTTTTGTGTATTAAATAGCTTATTTAACCATAATTCAAAACACCTCACTTTCTTTATATTATAATTTTTTATTTAAATTCATTTTTACACTTAAAAATCTGATACATGAAAACATACCACTGAAAATACCTACACTATTTACACTACTAAGTTATACATTTTAGTAGTGGTCCTGTGAGCCATCGACAAAATATTCTTAATCGCTATCCCTAATTTAGATAGAACACTATATAATCCTTAATGAAATTAATTTCAAAATACTGTTATAATAAGTAAAAATACTTACTTTTGACAAAACAAACCTATCGCTTGATGGATCTCTGGGATCATCGATCCTAAATTTCAGAGTATTGAAGAACAAAACAGACATTAGCTCTGCCATGGAACAGCATGATGTTGGATGACTTAAAAAAAATTAAATTTACATTAATTATCAATCTATTAAACACCATTTGCGACATTGAATTATCAATTTATTAAACACTATTTACGACATTAAATTATTAATCTATTAAACACTATTTATGACATTAAATTATCAATCAATTAAACACTACTTACGACATTAAATTATTAATCAATTAAATTCTATTTACAACATTAAATTATTAATCAATTAAATTCTATTTACAACATTAAATTATTAATCTATTAAACACTATTTATGACATTAAATTATCAATATATATTAAACACTATGAAATTAAATTATCAATATATTAAACACTATTTATGACATTAAATTATCAATATATTAAACATTATTTACGACATTAAACTATCAATCTATTAAACACTATTTACGACATTTTACTATCAACCTATTAAACACTATTTACGACATTAAACTATCAATCTATTAAACATTATTTACGACATTAAACTATCAATCTATTAAACATTATTTACGACATTAAATTATTAATCTATTAAACACTATTTACGACATTATTAATCTATTAAACACTATTTATGACATTAAATTATCAATCAATTAAACACTCTTTAGGACATTAAATTATCAATCTATTAAACACTCTTTACGACATTAAATTATTAATCTATTAAACACTCTTTACAACATTAAATTATCAATCTATTAAACACTCTTGACAACATTAAATTATCAATACTCCTTGCTTCTTTACATTGATTGTTTCATATTGACATAGATCCTAATTTTCAACAAAGCCCTTCAGATACCAATAATATAAACCAGATAAAAAAAATACCAATTCTCTTGTTAACTTATAGACTTAAATTATTGCATTGTTTGATTCAGTTACTTTGAGTGCCTAGTTGTACTGAAATCTGCCCAATGAGCATATTTATGATAACTTATTTTTGTTAAAATGATAATTTAAAAAATGCTATTTGTTTATAATATTAAAAGGCTATTACACCAATTATGAACATGATATTAGCAGACTTTAAGAACACGCAACTCAGTTTAAAAAATGAAATAGTTCTAATAATTCTGTAATAAGATATCACTTGGTGTCATCTAAGCTTACTCTACTTTTTAGTTACTTATAGAAATTTAAAAATAAAATGAAAAATTGAAAATAGGCTATTACAACTATAACAGTGAGCTTTAAATTTCATTAAAATAATTTAAATTTCTTAAGTTTATAAAATTTGCAGAAAGTATAAATAATTCCAAGAATTATTTAAGCAAAATTGTTAAAACTGCTTGAAGTACTGCATAGGTTTAAATATTAAGTCAGCTAATACGACATTCATAAACTGCGATGAAACAAAAGTGGCCCACACACACTTATTAGTGGCAGTTTATTAGGTTTATAATAAAGTAATGCAACTAAATGTTTAAAATAAAAAGTACTCAATAACAAAGAAAGTTAATTGCAAATTAAAATTTTCAAGGAAATAAAATAAACAAACCAGGAACTTACCCGGAATTACTGGCATTGGTAGCCCTAATACTGTGAATTCGCAACTTGTTTGCAATATCTTTTAAATCTTGAGCAGATAAACCCATATTTGAAACTTACAAAAATGAAAACAAGGAGCCCTAACCAAAGCAGAACAAAGTGTCAAATTTGAAATCTATAGTTTAAAGAGATGGCTTTTAACTTGGAGTGATTGATAGAATGTAACAACTCACGCGGAGCCGGTAGACGAACTGGACCACATGGGAGGAAAAAATGTCGAAAGAGTATTTCTTTCAGCCAATCACAATTAGTTCTTACGTCAGATAGTGTGACGTTTAATTGTTTAAGCTCAATCAAGTATCGGTTCTGTTCTGTATTGAGTTTCCATTAATAAATTATGTAACAATATTTAAAGTTTGATTTTATGCATTTTAAAAATAGTTCTAAATTCATCTGTAAATATATTCATATTTAGTCCAAAATTTTCTCATACTGGGTGGTGCTGAAATTTAAATAGCGTGGAAAATACAGTGGGAAATTCATAAATTCATTTGTTTAAGGTTATTTAAACAATAAAACAAATTCTTTTATTATATCTATAAATTCCTTTTATTATAAAAAATTGCATAAACCAAGTTAAATTCATCTTCTTTTAGTTAAAATAGTGTAATAGTATATTTCCATAATTGTTTACTTATTCATCACAATATTTATTTATCTATCTATTTATTTATATATTCATTTATTTATATATCTATTTATTTATATATTTACTGATTAATTTTTTATTTATTTATTTTTTCATATTTTAATTGCATTCGCAATTTTTTTCCATATAATTTCGATTATTACAATGATCGATTATATGTTCTCCTGTAAATTTTGGATTGAGGATAAAAATGTACGCATTCATTATTTCCATTGTCGCTCTTATAATTAGCAAATAACGCTTAAAACCAAAAAGTACTAGCATTTTTTTAGAAAAAAGCACATTTTGGATCAAAACTAGTTTAGCCCTCAAAAACCAGTACAAGCATAGTAAAACAATTTCTTAAAAATTTGCTAATTTTTTAATTTTTACGGTATAAATCTGCTCATTGCCTCCTTAAAATCCGATGCTTTGAATTGAAAAATGATGTGAAATATTTGCAAAGATTGAAAATAAATGATGCTTGTTTTTTCTCATGAGCGACTCGACTGAATATTTTAGTCATTTTCTTACAATTTTTAAAATCGCACTCTCCTTTGTGCAGTGCAGACTCTTTTTTTTTTATTTATTTACAATGAGATATAGTATTCAAAATTTGAAAATTTTATGCACATAGCATTATTTTATTGTTACTCATTCATATTATTATTTTTTTTCTAAAAGCAAAAACAAGTGCCAATTTTCGCAACTTAAAAAATTTCGATTTTGCATCGATTTAAGCAGCTTTGAAAAATTTGGTAAGCTTATTATTTTCTTAAAGTCTTATATTTATATTGTTTAAAAGATTTCAACGCTTATAGAGCAACGGCAATTTTAAACATCATTTAAAAAGAATCGAAAGCTTAAGTTATTTAAGTCATATTTTGACATTGTTTAAAAAATATCACAAATATAACTGCAATTTTAAATAGCACTGAAAAAAAAATCAGATGGCTTAATTTTTATAGTCATATTTTTACACTGTTATTTCTCGCGAACTACTCATTTGATTTATTTCATAGTTTTGGAATATGTAACTTAAAAATATGTAACTTAATATATACAATTCTGTCGCTACCATTTTGAGTATATTACATTTTGTTTGCTGTGCAAAAACTGTTAGACTTTGAAACTTAAAATTACGATGGTATGTAGGAATATATGCAGGGAGTGCAAGGAATAAAATAATTATGCGTTCGAGAATTATTAACTGTTACACTTGTTGCGAAGAATGTCATCCAAGCCGCCCTACAAGACGCAATTACAGAGTTGAAAAATTTTTGTGTGTGCCATATTTGCTTATGAATTTAACACAGAGTTTGTAATGTTCTTTAATTCTAATTTGTTCTAAAAATAATTGCAATTTTATGATTTTTTTTTTTTNAACAATGTAAAAGGTAACTACTCAAATTTTTTTTTTTTTTTTTTTTTTTAGCCCTTTGTTACATCTATATCTATAGCCTTTGGAACTTGAAATCACGGTGATATGTATCAAAAGTACAGGAAATACGACAAAATAAAAATATTAAGATTTGACAATTAGTTTGAGGATTGCTAAATGATAAACTTGTAAGAGAAAAATACCATGTTTTGACGATATGTAAGCCCGCTGAAATCAACTACCCAGTTCAAATGTAACGTGTTGAACGAGTTATTTTTATTTGCGAATTTTGTTACGAAGTTAATTTACAGTTTGATTGAAACTTGTTTCAAATTCAAGTGCTTTTTTGTGATTATTTTTCAGCTTTTTTGCTTTAAATATTGATTATTTATCCATTGTTCTAGAAAATTTGTTTTTCCTTCGACAAATCTTTATTTTTTTTAATCAGCTCGTGTTCATGTCATTCAAAAATAGTAAAAGAAAAAGAAGAGATTACTTGTTGCCAGATGTAAATCTTAACATTAACAGTGAAACTTTTAAAAATTAAAAAAACTAAAAATTAAAAAAATATTTTAATTTTTATAAGTTTCTTCAACGAGTAATTCGAATTCTCTTATTTTTGAATCTCACAATCTATGTTATTTAGGTACTTATATATATTTTTTTTTCAAATACAGATGATTATTTTTCAAATCTAAGTAATCATCGATTTCGTTGCAATTAGCATAGAAACAAAATGTTCCTACACAAAGCTAGAATGATTGTATATTTCGAAAACAAGGTGTTCAGTGTTTTTGTAGAAAATATTGACGTTTAAGAAGAAAAAAATAATGAATGCGAAACAAATATGGGAGTTAACGAGTGGAGCATTGTAGTAATATTAAAAAAATATTAAAACTGAATTGGATAGTAAAAATAATAAATATTTATTGCCACTTTATATTCACGCAAAGTTATCTTTCTGCCAATTAAATTTATTATTGCGTAAAGAAATTTTCAACTTGTATAATTAGTTATTAAGATCGTGCAAGAGAGGTTAAAAATAGAATGAAACTTTTTCATAACTCATTATGTCAGTTGCTCTTTATAACTGATTTTGACCTTAATTTATTCGTCTGAAATAGTTAACATAAAGCCGTGGTGACTCAGGGGATAGAGCGCTAGCTCATAACGAGGTGACCTGGGTTTCAATCTCAGCAATGGCTGGTCAAAGCGAATTTCGCACCCGGCTCCCACAGACTACAGTGCTGACGTACAATATCCTCTGTGTTGATCATGGATTAGAGTCCCTTGATGTCTGGCTAGCCGTGGGAGGTTTTCGTGCCCTTCCTCTCCATGTAACTCAAAGACAGGTTAGTTCCATCAAAAAGTCCTCCACGAAGTTAAATTTCTCCCTATCCTTGATACAGGAGTCCCCAAGTATTCTGAATTAGAATTTAAAATTACAAGGCTACGGAATTGTACATTAGTAGTCGTAAACTTAATATTGGGTCGGCTGTTCAACGACGGTTATAAAATAAAATAAAATGAATAAGAGTAATCGTGTTTAAAGAGTCCTTCTATGACCAGTAAAAAGTGATACTTTTGAAAGTGATCATCTGATCGTTTATTGAGGGTGATGGTGATGAGTTTTTTAAGAATTATTGAGGGTGATGGTGATGAGTTTTTTAAGTAGGTGGGACTTAAGAAATGTAGTAGAAAGGTACGTGGGGAAATAGCATACCCACAATGGTTTTTCGATAAAATCCCACTTTTCGCCAATTTTGAAGTTTTTTGTTGGTGGTAAGAAGAAAAAAAACTTGTTTATTGTAAAATACATTTATTTCTGTAAATTTTTATAATGTGCGCTTTTTTTCGTTCGCTTCGACTCGATTAAAAAGTAAAATTTCTGCATGCAGAATCATTTCTTGTTTGCAGCTGCACTACTGCAAGTACACTTTGCACAGAAAATTGATGTCTCCCGCCAATGAGGGACTGAAGGGGCATCATAAATCATCATTCTTCGTCACAGGGAATGGCAACTCGAATTTTTTAAAAAAAAAATCGTTTTGTAAACTTTTTATAACGAGTTTTATTACTATTATTTAGCATTAACTGCATTATGAAATTATACTAAATGAGAAAGAGGCAACTTTTGAGTGTTTATAATTTGTACAGTTTTAAACCAAATGCAATAAGAAACAAAAGTTTCTGTCACTTATATATTATTTTCAAAAAAAAAAAAAAAAAAAAAAAAAANAAAAAAAAAAAAAAAAAAAAAAAAAAAAAAAAAAAAAAAAAAAAAAAAAAAGAAGAAGAAGAAAAGTGATAGAACAGATCAAAGTGCTTACGCAAAATAATATGTTAGAAATGGCTTTTCAAAAGTGCTAAGGGTGAAATTAAGCAACGTGGAACACTGATGATTTTTTTTAAATACATTATAATCAAACAAATTTTTTTTGATAATTAAACCCTAGATTGGTTTTAACTTATCTAGATATTTTCTTTCTTTTTTTTATTTTGACACTTCCTTTATATTTAAACAATATAATGTAGATTATCATACATTATTTTAGTTTATCTAAAGAAAAACGTCACATAAAAAGTGATAGAAACTGAGAAATGCATTTATCTCTCGCTGGAGGCAAATACGATAAGAACCTTTTTGTATCGAACTTTCAAGGTCTCGTGCATTGAGTCTGGAATCTCTACAGGAAGCATCGTGCTATACTAATAATCACGTTCCTACCATTCTAAGAAAATAAAAAAGATACCAAAATAAAAAAAGATAGTAAAAAAGCTTTTTACTTTTTTGATCACTGTAGAGATTTTTCCTTATCATTTAGTTTCCGTGTCTACTTACCAAATTGTTAACTCTTATGTGTGGTAGTTAGTCTCTGTAAAATCCCAGACTCTATTATTAGGCCTAACTTAGTTATTTTAAACTATGCATCACCCTAAATGATGAAAACTGATTTTTTTTCCTTGTTAGAAAGCTCTTTACTCATTAAATAGTATGCAATTTTTATATTTTCATTTTTATAGTTTTATACCTAATGATCTACCAATGAAAAAATTTTCAGATTCTTACTTATTAATAGATAACATTTAATTTAAACCAATATAATATGCTATATTTCTTTATTATTTTTAATTTAAACACTTTATTACTTTCATTACTTTTGAGATAAAATAACATTGTCTATTTTAACTTTTTCTGTTTTAA